AACAACAACAATAGTTTTTCTTTATTTCGTGCCATACTATAAATATTTTTAATTCTACCCCTAAAAAGAAGAAGCAGGTGGAGTTGACTGCTTCCTCGGTTATTAAGACCAAATCCTGTTTCCTGAAGCTCGAAAAGCACAAGCTCCTTTCAGACCCACACAGACACCCTCAACAATGCCCCAGAACGCGAACATATTAAAGCCAGGAGTGGGTGAACTGGAGTCGGGATCAGATCTCAGGGTTGCACTTGAGGAAGGGAAACAGAGGAGAGACTAAACACAGAGAGACAGCTACAGCGCATAATCCTGCGTTTGGAGTCTGATGATTACTGAATGCATTAACGTCTATAATAATTGAGAAGAGATTTTATGTAAGGTTAAGTTGTTCACCACTAAATAAATAAATAAAGTAGCCATATTGTTCACCGACATCTTCAAGGATACATGTGAGTAAGCTCTTAACATGTGACTACAACAAGATACGTTTTAAAGATGGAAAAACATCGTTTAGTCCAAGAAAGAAAGAAAAAAGTGACAGGGAGAATCTGTATTCAACGACGAGCTCTCAGCAGATGGCACCTTGCATTACCTGCTGGATCCTTTGACTTTTGCTATTGTGGAAAAAGAGCATTAATATTTTTTTTTTGTGTGAGATGTCAAACAAAATAAACTTTTTTGATTTTATTCTACATTAAAATATATTCACAGCTAAAGTAGATATACAAGAACACAATTAATTAAATAAAATCATGGTTCGTTCTGGGAGAGTCTGAATTCCTTTGATTTTTGGTGCTGGTACTGAAAATGCGTCACGTGCTAAAAGAAGATGAATTTTTCTGTGGAGATTTTTTTAGTTTTTTAGTCAGTTTACAATGTGAAAGTACCCTCAGCTCACAAGAATCTTCCCTCATGTAAAACGAATGAATCTTCAAAAAGTTTGATTTGTCTTTACGTACAGTCAGGCATGTTTTAGAAAATGCACACTGGCACAAGTGGAGGCACACCCAACGTTTGAAAATATATTTACAATTTATGTCAGTGCATGTGAACCCAAACAGAACTATATGTGCCAAAAATCTCCCTTTCTGACTGTTGTGTCTGAAAGAAAGTCACCTTTTCCCACTTTTGTAATAATCTCCTGAAAATATCTCAGACTGCACTTTAAAAATCTCATTTTAGTTCTTCAGAGAGCTTCAGTTACAGTAACAAGTGCTAAGAACTGCTGTAGAACTACATCGAGAAGAAGCTTTCAACATATATATTTTTCCCCTGGATTTAAAATAAATCACTTTGATCGAAGACAGCCACTAATGCTGTGTCTCCAACCTGCCAAAGAAACATGTGTTCAGACCATAACACATTGCTCTCCAGGTACGGCAGCATTTGAAGTTTAAATAATGCAGACAGGCACCTGTGGTGCACTGACTTGATTTAAAGACATGAGATGAAAAAAGTGAAAGGAAAGATTGTGAGGGGAAAAAATGTTGACAAAATTCTTTTTTTTTAATTTTGCTGATTAATGCCTTTAAAGAATGCACAGTCTTGTGATATGACAGATAGAATTTTTTGTATGCAATTTTAAAAAATGAATTTGGGAAAAAGTGGAAAAAGGAAGGTTAAAACTTTTTCGTGGGTTATTTGTTTCTTTTCTTCAAAATAAAAGTTAATTTGGAATTTTTTAAGATTTATTTTTCTTACTTTGAAGTCACACACAGTTTAAAAGTTCAAATATTTTGTCTAAAACCAAGACAGAACTTATGGTGAATGATTTATGTCGTAGTTTGATCAAAATTTCTTGACATTTTTGTGCATATTAGAAGAAACTGTATGTGACTGCTTCAGGAAAAAGTTAAACGGATGCTTTTGCATTTGCTTGGACTCTTGTGGACACACACACACACACACACACACACACACACACACACACACACACACACACACACACACACACACTGTCTAAGCCAATTAGGGATGTCAGCTTCAAATCTGAACCACAACAGGTCACCACTTTATAACAGCAAAAGACACACTGATCCTGAGGAATGACATCACGATTTTGGCATTTGCCATTTGATTGTTTCCAGGATCAAAACTATCCAGAGGGCACAATGAAAACGTGTGCACCTTGTGTTTAACCTTCATTGCGTGTAATGTGTGCCACCCAGGCTGCAGACAAGACACGGATCACTGTGTTTTAAGGGTATACACAATGATGTCACAGACAGGAAAAGGCTGGAAGAGGCTTGGCACCTTCAGGAACTGGCCAAATCCCCATTGGCTCAGCAGAATCACTGTAATAATAAACAGGCAATCAGAAGGCAGCGTGAGCGTACACAAAGGCATTGCGAAACTTTGCAGATAATAAAAGCAGATTTTTCACTTGAGGGGGATGATTATTTGTGCTCTTCAGTTGTCCATAAATAGAGGGCCCCTCACAGGAAGTATAAACATACCGATGGAGTGGAGGGCAGTCATAGTCCAGTGCAGTGATTTCAAACATCGCTGTTTATGTTCAATCAGGATGGAGCGTAACTGTAGCCCGAGTTTGTGCATGAAATACCAAGAATTATTCTGTTTGGGAGAAAAAAAACTCCATGCAGAAGGTAAAGTTTTTGAAGAGTGCTTCACTCAATTAAGGTGCCACATCTAGTAAAAGTCATAAAGCCTTGCGTTAGCTCCCTAATTAAATAAACACTGAAATGTCTTTACATTATTTTACATAAAATCCTGTGTCATTCTAAATGATCACTACAAACATATATGAATAAAATGATACAAAAGCTATTAACATCCTTTATCTAGTTAAAGTAACCTCTTTCTGGATGTTAATTA